TTACAACAACAGAAACAAAACTACCTATTTGTTAGGCCCATGCTGCCATTTTTTGTGGTATTGATATACCCCTCCTGAAACCATTATATTGTAACAAAGGGGACACCTTCTTAGTTTATTCAATTATTCTGGCTCAAGACAGATTTATCGGTCACTTAATAAAACAATGGACACGAGAGCTCAGTATTCATAATTGCAAGTGAAAAATAGTTGTTATTGTTTTTTAAATGAATTTGAAGTATTCCGATTTAAATCATGATTCGCCTCGTGTAGTATTTTCCTTTTTTTAATCATCCTGCTTTTTGTACGTTTTTTTCTAGTCACCCTTTATGTAAAAGGTATTTTTTTCCTTAAATGAACTTGCAATTGGGATTATGGTTCTTAAAAATGTGTGTTTTTTTTAATCTGCTACGCTTGCTTTTCTTAGTAGAATTAAGAACTATTCCGTTGCTAGGGGAACTCTTTTTTTCCCCCAGTTTGAATAGAAAGAGATTCAGTGGACTGCTGAGGGCAAGCATTTGGAGAGGGGTGTGTGAGGAGGGGGCGAAGGGAGTTAGAATGAGCAGGCAACGAATGCCAGGGAAGGCATCAAACACCTGCAAACACTGGGCCACCGCTTCTGCTCCTGCATAATCAGGGAAAATAATGCGGATTATATCCACAAATCATACGTTTATTACACCATGCTGTATCATGTCTGGCAGGACAAATTCCACAGCTCACACTACAAGCCATGTGTGTGTTTTTATACATTGTGCTGCAGATAACAGAGTTAGCTTGTTTGGGGAGGAGGGGTACAAAACAAAACACACAAAACAAATAAATAAATAAATAAATAACCTACCCCCATTGTAAAACCTGGAGTGTATGTAATGATCAATACCAGGAGAAACAGCCATATTAGTAATAATAGCAATAATAAAACTATAAAATAATAGTAATAATAATATAACATAGTAATAATGATAAAAATAATAATAATAGTGCTTTGCTACTATGTGTCCCAGCTCTGTATCATGACTGCGATCCCAGTAGTCGCATGATCGTCCCGGGACTGAAAGGGTTAAACTTGCCATAGTATTTCATTGTAAGAGAAGTTTGAGAAAGCTATAGGAGAAATGGCCAGTTTCTCCCTCCAAGCCCCCCCCCCCCTACCCCCAAAACACTTCCTTCCATAGGCGTATGTGACCTGTTGCTACTGTGAGCTAGGAGGGGGGGGGGGGGGGTTGCTGTAATAGGCTGCTGGCTGTCGGTGTACTCCCCCCAGTGGCCATCCTGCCCCTCCTGCTTGCCACTCCTCTCTCCATGCAAAACCCAGCGGAGGGCTGCCCGGCCTGGAGAGGGAGCCGCGCTCTGATTGGTCGGCTGAAAGCCATTTATTCCCTGACAGCCCCCATCACATGGATGGTTGTCTATTAACTTGTTTCAAAAAAGTATCAGGGCTTGTCAAAGCGCAGGCATGGGAAGGACTCTGCTGGCTGTCTGAGAGCTCGAGCAACCAGGGAAGGGAAAACACACTGCGAGTCCACCAGATTGGGAGCTGCATCCACACAGCCTGAGCCAGGTGACAGAGAGACACCAACCACCATCACCACCTCCAGCACCAGCAGCACAGCCGCCACCTGCTCCAGCAGCTCTCCTCCTGCTTGGGTTCCTGGCTGGCTGAGAGCCTCCACCAAGGCTGCCTGAATGTACAACATGATGGAAACCGAGCTCAAGCCCCCCGCCCCCCAGCAGACCTCAGGGGGGACAGGCAACTCCAACTCCTCCGCCAACAACCAGAAGAACAGCCCGGACCGAGTCAAGAGACCCATGAACGCCTTCATGGTGTGGTCCAGGGGGCAGCGGAGGAAGATGGCCCAGGAGAACCCCAAGATGCACAACTCTGAGATCAGCAAGAGACTGGGGGCCGAGTGGAAGCTGCTGTCCGAGTCCGAGAAGAGACCCTTCATTGACGAGGCCAAGAGGCTGCGAGCCCTGCACATGAAGGAGCACCCGGATTATAAGTACAGGCCGAGGAGGAAAACCAAAACCCTGATGAAGAAGGATAAGTACACCCTGCCCGGGGGCCTGCTGGCTCCTGGGGGCAACAGCATGAGTTCTGGGGTAGGAGTGGGGGGCAGCCTGGGAGCCGGGGTCAACCAGAGGATGGACAGCTATGCCCACATGAACGGCTGGACCAACGGGGGGTATGGCATGATGCAGGAGCAGCTGGGCTACCCGCAACACCCGGGCCTCAACGCGCACAACGCGGCGCAAATGCAACCCATGCACCGCTATGATGTCAGCGCCCTCCAGTACAACTCCATGACCAGCTCCCAGACTTACATGAACGGCTCGCCCACCTACAGCATGTCCTACTCACAGCAAGGGGCCCCGGGAATGACTCTGGGTTCCATGGGATCCGTGGTAAAGTCTGAGTCCAGCTCCAGTCCTCCTGTGGTCACCTCTTCTTCCCACTCCAGGGCTCCATGTCAGGCTGGGGACCTGCGGGACATGATTAGCATGTACTTACCTGGGGCAGAAGTGCCAGAACCCTCTGCCCAAAGCAGACTTCACATGTCTCAGCATTATCAGAGTGCATCTGTACCAGGAACAGCAATCAATGGCACCCTCCCTCTATCACATATGTGAGACAAACAAAACATTTCAAAAACAGAAACTTTTTAGAGTTTGGACTTTTTTTTTTTTTGGACTATTTTTTGTACAGAGGTAAAAAAACAAAAACAACAAAAAAACATTCTGGGAGGGTAAAGACTTGTATAGAACCAGAGTAAGTAAAATGATACACAAAAAAGAACATTAAGAGTTCTAGGTAGAATCTTTTGCAGAAGGTTTGCGGAAACATATAACAATAATATTTAGAGCTAGTCTCAAAGTGAAGAAAAAAAGAAATAAAAATAAAACGTGTTTATTCTTAGCAACTTTTGTACAGTATTTATCACGTTTAAACATGGCGGTCAAAATGGGCCATTGTTTATAAGCTGCGATTTTGCCAATCTTTCTAAAACAGTCCTTGGGTCAAAGGCAGCCAGGAATTAGCAAATGCTGCAAATAAGGGACATTATTATTATTATTTTTTTTCCTTGTTCTTCTTCTTCCAAATTTGGACATTTTAATGCTTTAGTTTTTAATTGTACAAAAAAAAAATCATTTCATAAATACTTTCAAAACACCAGCTCAATTGGTTTTGCATTTAAAAAAAAATGGCAAAAAGAGTGTATTTTTTTTCTATTCATTGTTTAAAAAGAATCTGACAGTTGTTAATTTATAATATGCTGTTTTGCAAACTTTTCATCCTGTTCAGATAAAAAAAAACCACATGAAAGCTACTGTGTTTGAAATATTTTCTTATGGTTTGTAATATTTCTGTAAATTTCTTGTGCTGATATTTTAAGTTGTTTTTGGTTTTATTTTTCTTTCATTTTCAGTAGATGTATTTTTAAAGTCTCGGCTCTGTATTATACAATCAGGCAGCCGAAAGTCCATGTAAATATGAACTAATCCATACTTTACCAGAAACCTTTTCAGTTTATACTTCATTATGCACAGTTTGAGATAAATTTTGAAATATGGAATCTAAAATCACGTTGAGTCTTCGATTTATTTGTTTATCTAAAACCCACTAACAGCCTAACAAGCTAATTTAAAAGTGGTATTTTTTTTTCATAAAAGTTTTTTATTTTTATTGTTAATTTTAAAGAATAGGTTAATTGCATGCTTTTAATTATTAAAAAAAAAAAAAACAGTAACAATTAACGAACCTGCTTGTCTTAAAATATACACATTTATACAGTGTGGGATTATGACCCACATAAACTCTTACATGCTATGAATCGTGTTTTCCAATCGGATACATTTTAATAATAGAGTAATCTTAATGTTTTTATAATGATCTTGGGGATGACAAAGACCCAGGATAATAGAACACACATCTCTATATAAGGTAAATGTTGCTTTGACATTTGGTGATAAGGTGGATGGGTGTAATGTAGCCTTCAAACAAAATTCTACTTTGTATTTTCGATTTAGGAGCAGAATCTTTGTCTGTATTGCAAACTATTTTAGCTGTTTACTGCTGTTTTAACCCTTTTTCTAAATTGCCAGTGGGCTCCAAAACTGGACTATTATCTCCATCTGATAAGGAAATCTTTCCTGGGCCAAATAACAGAGAGGAAATCTTCAAGCACTGAGGTAGTTTTTTTTTTACTTTTAAGGTTAAATGATGATGCTTTGATAATTTTTTATTATTGCGGATGGTTTAACCGTGTTTTTTCGGGTGACTTGGTTTAACACAAGTCGAGGCAGTTTGTGCAATGGGTAGCTGTGAAGGAAAACAACTCCCATCAAGCAAAGACAGATAAGCTACATTGCCTAATCAATGAGATATGGTTACTTGAGGATTAGTTGGCAAAGTGTAGGACGAGATAACTGAACTTAAAAAAACAAAAAAAAAAAAACAATTCTCAAAATTATTTATTTTTTTCAAAGTAAATGTATTTGTTTTACATTTTGCAAATTGTTTTTCAGATCAAAACAACTCGTTGTTTGCAGATCAGGTCGGTGTATTTTCTTGATGGGATTTGTAGTTCACAGAAAATTAGGGGGTCTTCTCATGAAACAGTGAGTGGCGGTGACTTTTCATAATCAATGCCAACCTAGCAAATAAAGAAGTCAATTGTGATTTATTAGAGATTTCTTTTCATAATTTTAACCAAAATTTAGCAAATCGCTTCTTGAGTCACCAAAACTCTTAAGACTATCGGGAACTGTTAAGTGTTCCATTTGATTAATATATGTTACTCTGCCGGGTGTAATGTTTATAAGACTTTGAGAAGTGGAGCGAATTTATTTATCATATGTTCATGATAGTATACTATCTGGTTCTTTAATATCGATTTGAAATCTCCAAATCAGATTAGGTAAATTCAAATTGTTCAATTCTGCAATTCTGCAATGCTTTACTTAAGCATTTCTTTATTTGTGCAAAGATTTGTTGCTGTTTTACTTAACACTTTTAAAGGTCCTTTTCTGGCACACAAATGGTTAGCCCTGCAGCTAGCTACTGAGGCCTTTTTTGGCACACACATGGTTAACCCTGGTGCTAGCTACTGAGGCCTGAAAACGAAATATTAATATCCTACAGGGGATCAGCCACGCTTTGGGCATATCATTTCATTAGAGGTGTTAAATATATATTTAGGGTTAACGTTCTTTGCTATTTAAACAATCCTTTCCAAGGGTAGCAAGGGTATGGTTAATATATGTGTTAGGCCTTGAGGGCATTAGTTGTGTAAAACACAATTTGGATTAAAATAATTTAGCATATAATGCATGTGCCATCTGTTAACGGCCGTGTTCTATTTTAGAACATTTAGAATATATTTCAAAATTACAAGACAAGCTGACAAGCTGTATACGTTTCGTACATTCCCTCCAGCTATTCCTTATAGAAACCAAAGATCATAGCGAGTTTAAAATTGATTTGGAATTGTATTATATTTTTTTCTCATGCCAGTTAACCTATAATTATTACAAATGTGCTCTAATTAATGTCAGTGTCCTGCGATTTGGCATTGATAGCTATTGGGATGATGACTTGGTTTCTCATTTTAACATTTAAGCGATGGAAAATGATAAGGAAAACTATATTTGCAGAATTATCAGTTTCTGTATTGAAACCGAATTTATCACCAGCCACTTGCCCAACCAGTCTACTCTTTGAATGCTTAAGGGATTGCTAAATCCCCCTTAATTTCCAAATTCTAATCATCAGGTGCACGAAAAAAAAAGGTTACCCAGTACCTCTACTTAATTAAAAACAAAAGCCATACATTGCTGAATTCCATGAACCAGTCACTAAATCCATAATGTAAAATAATGTCATTTAGACACCAATCACCCCGCACATTCCTGATTCAGTGCGATTTGTTTGTAAATAGATCTATTTGTTTCTCTCTGTTTCCCCCAGTGTCTCAGTAGCTGTGTCTGGCAGTGGTGTGATAGCCCTGTTTGATTTGGTGTAATGTTTAAATAACCTAACACAGTGTTTAAACCAATCTGTGGATACGATTACAGTTCCCCTTGTGATTTTTACAAGGTTTTAAGGCAGAGTGGTAAAATATGTTGCCTAACAGAAGAGAGTAGATTAGCAGACATCCTTGCCAAGGCAGAATAGCTGTTAATACATAGAGTCCCAGGGGACACTGGCTCACATTAACTGCTAAATGAATATTTGACAAGGGCTCACTCTGATGCATTATTACTACAAACGTGTCCCTACTGGACTTTCAAAGGGTCAGGGGGCATCAGTTTAATTAATTATTTATACTGCAGCTAAGGGTGATTGTCCACAATTAGCATGTTTTACAGTTGGAGCTCTCCAGAGATTGCTCGGAGTATATACCCAGATAAATATACAGATATTGTGTGGAGGGATGCAATAGATGCCGCACGTTTCTCTTATTTAATGACAGTATATGGATCCCACGCACTAAAGATGCTTTGTGATTTCCTTCTGGGGCAGAGAGGTAAAAATGTGGTACAGGTGAATTAAAAAAAAAAAAATTGTATGTATTCTCCTATTAACAATGGGACACATGATGCCAAAATCTGCTATTCGTGTCCATGTAAGCCACACAAAGCTTGTATAAAAATGGGTTGTATATGCATATGTGTATATCTATATATGTGTTTGTATATATGATTTATTCTTATGTATATCTGCTACATTTGATTACATAATATAAATCACACATATGTATTGTGATCTATACACAAATGTATATAGATAGATATATATATACATATATATATATATATATATATTTATATACAAAAACTTTTTTTTAAATTAATACATTTTCTATATATATTGCCTGTGTTGGTAGCAGAGGTTGCTGCTGATCAGAATATAAAGCAGGGAAGCTGTAGAGAGGTTTGGAGAATGTATAATTACCCCCCCAATTCACTCATTCACTCAGCGCTGGGTGACTTTCTGTGCTGTGAGCTGCCAGTTTTCTCACATTAAAAAGTGATCATCGCCCCGGGGGGGAGAGCTACAGCGCTTTGGAGAAGGGTGATGCACTCCCACCTAGAGCCAAAGCAAGAGGGGATCAGAGAGGCTCTTGTACTTGGGGATTTGTTCAGTAGCTTGCAAGCTAACTGTTCACAGACTGGACTTTGATCGCCCTCTCTTCCTTGCCATTGATTTGCCTTTTTGCAATTTAAATGACTTGTATGTTGACAAATTATTGGAGTTTTTTTTTAACGTTTGATTCCATCCTTCATCCTGGAGGGCTGGGGGACAGGACTTGTTTGTGATGGTTCAGTCTATTCAATGTGTATAGGGGGTTGGGGTTGGGTTTTTTGTCTGCAAGGTAAATAAGAAAATACAGCAAGATTTGGCATTCTTACGGTTGATTTACATGCAAATTGTGGGAGCTTACCTGAAAATAGAAAGAAGTAGCATTTGAATGGATGGGTGTATATATGTAAATTCTGCAGCCATATTTGTATTGAGTTACATGCATATTCAGATTCCAACTGTCTCTAAAACTCTGTGTTAGTATGTATGTAAATACACTCTGTACGTACACAGGCACACTGCTTTGGTTGCACTGAGCACAACGCTAAATCCATAGAAAACTTTTCAAAGTTCTATATTTTCACACTTTAGAATTTTGTAGGAAAAGGGTTTCTGGGACAACGTTCTAATAGTGGCAAAATCATCATAGAAATGGAAAAAAATGCATCTCTTGATTGCTACACTTGGAACTTTGTCCTAGATTTTCCATTTGTGAATTTCAGGTTTTCTTTCTGCCTTTTATGGTAAATCTAGCTTTTCTGTGTACAACTGTCAAGGACCACCTGCAGCACTGGGGGGATGCAGGACTGTAGTCTGAAGATGCCAGTTTAGGATGACGTCACCAGGCACAGCTCAATGCTTGGAGTACCCTGGGGAAGCAGCCATTTATAAAACTGGGCACATTATCTGTATATCACTGATGCCCATCAGCAAGTACTGAATTTATTAAACTTTCCTGGAGGGGGCACATTTTAATCTTGACTGGTACCTAAGATTAAACTTTTATTCTGCATCACACTTGTTGTATTAAGCTTTACATGATATATATTTAGTGTCTTAAATGGAAACACCCAAAGGTTAATTTTCGCTAAACAGTGTTGCTTTAACATTCGACTTTAGGAGACTACAGTCGAAATCTGTTAGCTGAAAACCGAATTATAGTGAACTGGGAATTAAACACCAATTTAGGCTAAAATAGTCTAACTGTAGCTGAATTGGATAATTCGGCTATTCTAGTCTAACAATTTAGCAATTCAGGTTTCTATTCGCCTCAGATAGGAATTCGATTTTGAGTGGTCATTTCACCAACAGAGTATTTTGATAAATTGGGTAACAAAATGAAGTTGGGTAAAATATACAGCTGACATGAGTTGAATTTATTCCTCAACTATGATTTTATGGCTTAAATTGCGAATTGTCATTTCGCTACAATTGTTTAGATATTAAATAGCAGCTTTTCATTTAGAGGGACTTATCCAACCCAATTTATGGGGCTGATATCAGCATCGGAAAGCAAAATAAATAATGTATTTCTTATTTGCCCTTTGTCTTAATCATTAAATTCAATCACCTCTCTGTTAATGGAGATATTTAGCACATACAAATCATATCTCAATTCCATCAGTTCTAACCCACCTGCGGTTATTACAATTTTTTTTATTCCTAAACCGAACAGTGGGCAATGTATATAGAGGTTGTGAAATAGTAATATTTCTGTTAATTTTATTTAATATAGGGCTTTTCTGGGCTTCTAATTTTGCAATCTGAAAAGCACTTAAATGTGCCATTCTGAATTCTCCTGCAATGATGGTTTTTTAAGCTTTTACAAATTGCAGAATTTCCGAAGACAGAGAAATAATGAATATATTAAAGAAAGCGGTGTATTTCTCGGGAGACCCTTATCATCCTACAACAGACAGCCTGATCACCTCGCTTTATGCTAACAACCCAATGACGTCATATCTCTCTTTTGGGGGGAAATTAATGTAAAATCTCCTTACTTCTATTTTTGTTTCTGGGTTCTACTTCCCTAAACTATCATGTGTTTGCATTTGTTTGTCTGTGTGTGTTTGCGTATGGTGTGTGTAAAAAAAAAAAACCCAGCTCATGTGTCTGAACTACCAATAAATTATATATTTGTTAATTTATTTTGTATTTTGTTCGGTGTAAAATTTGTGTGAAATTTCTGTGAAAGTTAAAATAAATGAGTATTTCATTTTTAATTTAAGTGCAATTTATTCTATTTAATTTTCTATGTTCAGTAAAATGTTCTGCCTACGGAGGCGATGAGATTGCTAATTAGAATTATTTAATATTAGTAATGGTAAGTCTGTGGATAAAACAATGGCAAATAAACAAAACAAATTCATAATAAAAAAATCCCGATATATACTATATACATTATAATATATATATTATATGTATTAAATATCAACAGGTAGCGTTTTTAGATAATCTTGACTTTTCAGCGGATCTTAGTGCTGTTAAAAGTTTGATCATAATTCTTTATTTTTTAAAGATTCTAATAATATTCTCTCATTCGTGTCCTCTAACGATTGTTGTTTGTTTATTTATTTTTTTGCTACATTTAGAAAACATCCGTAATTTATTCTGTAGTGTTATTTAATGGCAAGAATATCTTATGTGTCTTTTAATTTGTCAAGATAACAAAATTGTAGATCTAAGGTATTTTCGAACATGCAACATATACAAACTGTTTAGTGCATACAAACAAATGTACACAATATCATGTTTAAATACATATACATTCAAAAGGAAAATACACAAACACTTTGTGTAACAAAAATATATTTTTGGGAAAAAAAAACACAGACATATATGTAATCGAACACTATAATATATAAATATTTATAAAATGTACACCATATATACTATATATATATATATATATATACACTGTATTATTCTCAGAAAAGTTACATGTCCATACACGCTCACAAATACATTGTTAAAAAAGACTGATACGCCTGAATGGATTTGGTATTTTAAATGCTTGTATTAAATTAAGCTACTATTAATTAGTTGATTACCCAATAACTGGAAGGACCTATTTTATTGATTTCTACACTAAATCCCAGTTGTTCTAGACACAATGTTACTCTAGGCAGAGGTCCTTCTCTCTGGGCAAGCAGTGAAGATGCTTCTTCTAATGTTATCTGGATGTGAAATCACTGCATAGGGGGGAATGGGCTTTAAATAATGTTTTCTAATGAGGGTTGCTGCTGCTATCTACATGCATATGTTGGTGATTTGAAGCATCCAACTAGCAATCTAGTGGAGATAGTTTGAATTATTACCCTGCTATACATTTTAATTGGTCGATTACTTAACCTTTTGAAAGCTAGTGCCTGGGTAGGGTACATGCTCTGTTACTAATGATATCCCAAACGATATCCAAATATATGTCATTGTGGGGTTTCTGTAACCCTCTCTGATGAGAAGTAGTTATTTTGGAGCTGGCTGAAAAGCAGGAAGAAATGGGATGAATTGATTCATGTCAGAGATGCTTTCTATTTGTACAACCGTTTCTAGTGAATACCAGTAACTGGGATTTCTAGTGCAGGTGCAGTGGTGCTGGGGGATGGGAGAGGGGGGAGAGGGGCTGTGTTTTCAGCCAAAAAAGCACATTCTCCACAATAGACCACACACTGCCAGCCAGCATGGCATCGACTCACACTTTAAGGCATTTTTTTTCCCTCTTACACTGTTTTTAGTTCACAAAGTGGCTATACAGTAGCAACAGCAAGGGTCCCTTAATAAACATTTATCAGTTCTATGATAAGCACAGAATCTGTCACATTGGATATGAAAGAAAAGCAAGCAAAAAAAACGAAAAGAAAAGAAAAATCTTTATTGCTACACTAGCTTGTTAAAAAAAAAAAAAAGATCCTCTTTAAAATACACGCAAACGTTCTATGCGTTAACATGCACTGAGCGTTCTTAACGCGTTAACATGACCACAACGTTCTAAGCGCGTTCTACCCAATTCCTACTGTTGACGTTTAATTGTCTGACCTCGAATTACAGGTATTTTTGCAGATTATGTTCTATTACTGTCTCCACTAATGCGATTTGGAGGTAATAATAAAAATAATAATAATAATAATAATAATATATATATATATATATATATATATATATATATATATATATATATATATATATATATATATATATTTTATTTTTTATTTTATTTTTTTTCCTTCATACAAGTCAATTTAAAAAATATATATATATTTTTTTTTATTAACCCCTGGCTTACCACAGAACTAAAACAGCTCAATGGTTATGAAATATTGCTAATGAAGGATAATAGAGTTTTCTCCCTGTCACTGTCGCCACTTTGCAGGCTTCTTGGTCGCCAGTCTGAGCCTGCTAGGAGAAGATTAGGGCTCTTTAGGTAGGCTTGCTGGAGCATTGCACTGCGAAAATTGCTTCTTGTTTGCTTATAAAAACTCATGTAACCGTAAAAAGTTTTATCTGAGGACAAATAACACCAACTTCTAGTGTACTCTTCAAATGATTAAGCAAAGAAAATGATTGTCGCTTTTTTTAAATTTTTTTATTGTTTCCTTGCAAAATCAGGCTGTTTTCTTGTTCTGTCTACAACTGAAAATATATTTTATTTTAATGTAAAAATAAGAAGATGGCAGGGGATTAGAGAAAATAGCAGTTCCATCGTTGTCAGGGTTCTTGCACATAAACCCACATGGTGAAACATGTGTATCATATATGAAATGATGACATTATCTTTCCTTCTCTGTTGTAGGTAGAGGGATGCTGTAAGCCAGCCCTTTGTACTAACTGCACCATGTAACACAGCCTAGAACAAGCAACCTCTTAATCGCCAGTCCTCTGTTACAGGTACACCTATAATAAGCATGACTGTGCTATGACACAGCTTAGTCCATGACTGTGAATTAAAAAAGAATCATTCCTGTGGGTTTATTCACCAAACAGCAAGATGTGGGGAGCTGACAGCCTAATTGCGAAGCATTTACTAAAGTGACGCAGTTGGGAAAAATTTCTAAAAATCTGCGGATTTTAAGCCTTTATGTGAAATCAGGTCTTGGAATCGTAACCTATGTATCCAAATCAGTACGGTTTTGGTGTTTGATGGATAAACAAGTTTAGGGAAAATCTGACATTTTACTCGGTTAACAATTTTCCAACTGGATTGTTGTGTTTTGAATGTTGTAAATGGCTGTTTAAATAAACCCTTGCAAGTTTTAAAAAAAATATCCAGAAGGTCCCTAAGTAAATTGTAATTTGGAAACGATGTAACAATAAGGCAATACATGGAGGGATTGGCACTTTTCCTGTGGATGAATACTGTGTCTCTGTGGAGACTTCTGTGCACTTTTTAAATAATTTTATTTGGTTGATTTCTAATTAAGTATTGAATCTGCCCCTTAATCTAACTTTTTAACTTAACAAAAGTCACAGTTTCCTAGCCATCCATAAAACCGATAGCAACAAATGAAGACAAAATAGCAAAAAAAAACAAAACAAAACAACAAGTAAACAACAAACCCTTTTCACTAATAAAGTAAACAAGTCCACGCGTGTTTAAATTGGTTGGAGAACAAGTGTGGCATTAACCCTTGCCGTGCCGCAGGTCCCTGTGGCTGATCTCTAAGGTGCTCCTTGTCTTTTGAAATAAGGCTGACACCAGGGCTACTAATTCGAGTTAATATGATCTTCATGGCAATATAACAGCGGATAATTGGCCTATTTTTCCTTACAACAATGTAATGCACAATAGCTTTATTATTTAATAACTTCAACCCTTGGCTGAAAGGCCCCGGCTGGGAAGACCCTTTTCTTTTCTAATTTTTGTGTGTGTGTGTGTGTGTTGGGAAAGAACAATAGAAATCTAATTGTAGAGATTTCTGAAGATGACTTGTGGATATGAACTGTTTATATAGGGAGAGTCTCTGTGATGCCTTTCCCCATTGATCCCTCCTACCAGCGTACACAACGTGGGGTTTATGGCAGATTGTTGTGCTGGGCTCCTAGCAACAGCCTGAATCTTCCCAGAACAAACACACTCTTCATCTCTCCTCATCTAAATATAAGGAACTTAGAACATTGGACAAAGTTTCCCCAGCAAGAGAAATAACTGCTTCCTATCTCATCTCAACTTCATAGTTTATAGGCAGACAGACTTAACTTTTCTGAACCTTTCCGGCCATTAGATTGAATTATTCATGCTAGGAATGACTAAATAAATAAATAAATAAAATCAAATGAATCGGTTTACTGGCTAAATTGCAAATGTGTTAACTCGCTACAGTTTTACAAAACACAATAATTATTTTTAGTACATCTGCTTTTTCGAAATAATCTAGTTCCATTTCACTGTTTAGTGAATAAACCCTCTCAGTCACTCCAGTGTCATAACAGCATGAAGATGAAACATTAATTTAATATCTATTACAGATCTAGGGATTAATAATAATAAAATAAAAAAATATCAACATAATTCCTTTTATTTTATTTTTTTAAAGGGGTGATTTAAAATAAAAACGGTTATTTGTAGTAACAGCCCATCTTAACACAGAGATATAGATAAATAAAGTTCCATATATAAATTAAAATTCACACAGTAAGTATTGATTGGATCAGACATAAGTTGGGCTGAGATGGTAGTTTATTTATTATTAAATTTTCTGAAGCTCAGTTTTAGGCTGCAGTTCCCACACTGTGCTACCTGTATGGGAACAGGTCCCAGAGGTGTCAGCCTGCACTCAATGGGAACTTTTCGCCAATTAGAAGCTGTGAATAATACTCATCTGTGCTTGGCCCTGCTGCTTCACCCCAAGCGCAAAACAATGTCAGCTTTGATGCACTTTCAGCAAGGACAGCATGGGACTGTGATGATGTATGGGATTCTTCATCCTAAGGCATTGGATCGCCGGGGAAGGGGGGAGAAGGGAGGGGGGAATAATTCCTCCAAACATCTTAAACTCTCTGGATATATACGCCTTTATTTCATGGTTGCTCTCACAACGCATTATAGAGGCAGTTTATTAGATGCAAATCTCTCCAGTTTTTCCCCCCTTTGGTGATATAGTTGTAGGCACTGGTTTAATGGACCCCCTCCCACCCCCCAATGATTCATACCACTAGAACACACTTTCTTTACATAGAACGCATTGTGGCAATATTTGTTTGTATTGCACAATCTTTTAGAAAATGTTCTAAAATTACCTGTCTTGGTGTAATGAGAAAAGCAGATTAAAAAAAAAAAAAAAAAACATAAACCATAAATGTTAGTTCTCTAATATATGAATAGATATCTACATGTTAATGTTAAAAACAAACAAACAAACAAACAAAAAAACAGGAAACTAAAATGTGCTCTGAAAACACACTTTGAGATTGTATTTTTACATTGTGTGCATCTGGGACCTAATACTTGTAAGCCATTAGTAAAACGATAATTATTTCGATATAATAATTTACTAAAGGAACTTCATGGCTATACTTTCGCATTTCTGAGAATACGTTTTTGTAAATTGAAGAGTTCAGGATTTAATTATTTCCAGAGCCAATCTAATATATTTACATGGGTCGAATTAATACAATTCATAATGATATTAATGTGATTTTCTATTTCAGTTCTTGTAAGAACATGATTTAATGTGTGTTTCTGAGAATTAATGGATTTTATAGCCCACTAAACTAATTTCCACAATCTGTTTTATTCACAAACAGAATAAAATGAATCTGCCATAAACAAATAAATACATTATTACCCTCTCAATTTCACCGATTTAATAAGCTGAGAACAAAATAACTTTCCTAGTTCTACTTTGGCCAAAGTTTTCAATAACTTAATCTATAAGCAAGAAATGCACGGAGTTGGCTTGTTGTAGAGGCAAAGTCAACGTTTCGGCCGCTCTGTGTTCTAGTGATTTGTCAGAGGGCAGGGATCACATATAGACTATACCCTGCAGGTGCACCCTGTAGCAGTGCCATCCGGGCTTTAATGTAGATTACTCTCCAATTCGTTTGATCGAAGCTTTGAAACCCTTTACAATTGCCTGTGACGAACTGACAGCCTCTTTTTTCTCCTCTTGAATAATGTCTTGAGGGTAAATCTCCAGGGCCTGGAGTTATTCACTGAGACATTTTCCATTGCAGTGTGGGGTTTCAGCAGACCAACTTGTGGACATTATACTTCCGAGTCATTAAACACTGGCTAACTTACCAGCCTTCAGGGTACCCCCTTTTGTGTGCCCCCAAAATACATTCACTCACTTAGAACTTTGCGGCATTTACATTAAAAAAAAAGAAGTTATTTTATGCTTTGCTGAGAACTTCTTGATATTGTCGTGTTTATTACTTTGATGGTGTGTCGTTTACATATAATATTTTGTGTATTTAGAAACACACATACACATACACACACACACGCGCGGGGGGTGGGGGGGGGGGGCATTGAGAACTCCATCATATATATTAGGAATTATATATAATAATTATAAATATATATTTGTATATATACACATACAAATAAACAAATAAATACACACACACATCATATATATATGTGTGTGGTGTGTGTATTTGTAACATTGTTATAACAATATTACAGTACAATGAATATTAGATGCTAAGATACAGTTGAGTTTTGGAATATTGAGATAGCTGGCTTGGCGCTTGAATGGTTAATTTCAGACCAGAACTGATCTACACGAAGGAAACCAGCAGAGAGAGAGGGGATGCTGTTATGCTTCAGATGGCAAGGGGTTACACATCAATAAATGTCACATTTGCCCACTGCAAAAGTTTTCCCAGTCCCCTTTCATTCCCAGCAGGGGAGGGGGGAGGCCATTCATTCCCCAGCACCAGGCAGGAGCAGGGCTGCAGAATGTGCTCCCTGGCCCAGCCAGCGAGGAGGGAATTTTCCAGCAGACAGCAGCCCCCATTGTTCTCCATCTCCCCTGCCCAATTTCAGACTTCACGCGCACATCCCCAAGTTTGTTTGTTAGTGACGCTATTGCCATCTGGCATGGCCTAGTTTCCACAGCATGCTGCTCGGTGCAGGGGGGATAAGGGGTGCTACTGGTGGTGAGGGGGGATCTGATCTCTGGGTGATAGTTAATATATATATATATGCACACAACAACATATATATATATATAAATAGAGAGAGAGAGAGAGAGCTCTGATCCCTGTGTGAAATTATACACACACACATAAACCCTGTTTACTGTGTGAAATTTAATACACACACATACACACACACACACACATATATGTTTACTGTGTGATATTTAATACACACACAAACACACACCTCTGCTCACTGTATGAGATTTTATATACATACACAGACATACTATATAAATATTTATTATTTTTAGTATTATCTAATTTGTGTATTATTTTGTTTAAAAATCAAGGCAATGAGATGGCGATAGAGAGACAGGAAGAATAAGGTGGTAACTCATAGCTTTTATTATTAGTATTACTAAATCCAAGCTGTGTGCAGTTCGCATGTCAATGTATCCGAGACTATGAGAAAATAATAGAGGTAATAAGGGCTTAACCAAGGGATCTAGACAACAACTCCCACAATTCTCTGGCAGCCACAGGAGCAATGAATAGCTAAAGGCTATCGTGAATGTCTGATTTAATAAACACTGCTAGCCTGCACGAGTATTGTTTTATTAGAGATTATATGCGAAATGATTTTGACGAAGGCATCCTTAACCCTTTGAGTGCCATGAGTGTGATTAACAGATTGTCTTCCAATAATTGGGCACCTTTGTGGCGCTCAATGTTAAAAAACGGGGCTCTCTGATTACTGAATAAATACGATTCCCCAACAAGTGACACTGTTATTTGCACACAGAGAACAGACACAGAGCTCCCAGCGGAAGCAGTGAGGTACACCCCCCTAAAAAGTACCATTTACTCAGGGCAGAGCTGAGCCAGAGACAGACAAGTGCATGTTGTTACTCTATACGCCAGGGGCAGTGGGCACAGCTAGACAAGATTGACAATGACCCAGTGTATTCACAAACCAAGACACTTACTGAGTGCTGTCTGCCATTGGATCACAGGCCTGTGGCTTGCAACACCCATGGCACACAAAGAGTTAACTGCCCAACTCCCCTAATGGCAGTGCTCAATTTACACTCCATTCTGGCATTGAGTTTAAGATTTTTTTTTGTTCTGAGTTGCCAGGACTAAGCTTAGACATTACCAGTGGATGGGGTGATTTAAAACACTCTTCTTCCACTGTAACACACACAAGGTATATGAAGAATGTATGGAATGAATTATATCGAATCTTTCATTGTGCTTTCTATTAGGATAGCCCATCAGTGGCCATTGACTGACACTCAGCATGCATTCCACACACACACACACTGCCACTCCATTCACCATCTGACTAATCTCAGTCTCAGGACAACCTATCTAGCTGGCATCACGACCCTCCTTTATCTTATAAAGTAGATTTGGACAAATTGTAGAGCTAACCGATTTAAATAAATGCACTTTTAATAAGTGATCATTAAAACGGTTATTTTAAATATAGCCAATTATATGCATGGCTTGCTCCTAACAGTAGCTCCCATTCTGCGATCTGTTCGTTTATTCCCTAACTATAGCCTGGTGGGGAATACTGATTATGCTCCTTCCATACGTTTCTATGGAGTTCATCGGTCTAATTAATGCCTTACTGTGGTCCACGGATCCTGCATGGCATCATAGCCAGGATTTTAAGAAGAGCCAGCACAGGAATGTATGTAGAATGACCTGTTTAGGATTTAACTCCTGTTTGACTATAAATCTATTATTATGATTACCACCCCCTCCTCCCCCCTCCCCCCCACACTCCATATATTTTTATGGTCGATTCGATCTGCTTAACCATAATAATGGTATTAGGGACTGATACATACTCTTGGTTTATTTATTTATTTGCTTCTTTGTTTGTTTTGTGTAGTCTCTCTTCTCTTTTCTTTATAAGGAGATGTCTGGGTTAAATAAAATGCCCTTGTACTTGTGAGCTATTTGAAACTGTTGAGAAGTTAAGCCTTGTCTAATTTTATAAGTTTTATAGAAGATGCAATGTAAACCTTAAAGCAGAAATATATGATGTTCCATATAGTCATGTAGGATACACTTGTAATAAAACATGGTTTTAATCATCAGCATTTATGACTTTGCTTGCCTTGCACAGGATTAATGAATAGATAGCTATACTAGAAACATTATTACTTTAGTAATTTCATATATGTTTTTCTTTGTATTTTGTTTAGGCTTCTGAAAGAGTGATCGCGTGATTGGCCCTTGGCAGACCACCAAAGCCCACCAATGTACCTGATAAATGGGATACATTCTCCAGGACCCACAGAAGAGATGAATGAGAACCACAGACAGCTGTATTTATTGTCATTGTCGCACACAATAGCAGTGTCTCAGAGTGCTATATAAAGTTATCAATGCAAGGCACAGGTGACCACTGCTGAATGTGTTGTTTGCAAAGCAAACAGTCAACATCATACGGAGAAGCAATATTATAAATGCACACACTGATCCTGTGTAGTGAGCAGAGTTTGCTTGAAGCAGATCAGATGGCCCAGTGATATTAATTGTTATGGGGCAAGGAGGGATTTTGTTATAATACTTTGGTCAGAAGTATCACGACATTGCTGTGAATTCTAAATCAAAGAAATAACAGGACAGCCAGACTGGCTGAGGCTCATAGCTTTCACTGAATAATGGGAGATATGGACAATAAACCATGTGTTCTAAAGCTATGTGTTTTCTAGTTCCTTTAGAGATATTATGAGCATCAAGACTAATTGAAATTATTATATTAGTACATTATTACATAAGTACATTATTTTATAAGTCAAGATGACTAGCGTGCTTATTGAAAATAAAGTGGGAAATCATGTTACTTAATTCATGAATTAATGTTCTCTATTTGATTAGATTTAAACCCACACAGACAGAGAGGGGTTCTGCATAAAAATGGAAATGGTATCATTGGAGAAAAGTTGATATATTGATTAGACGTGTTACAGAGAGAGAAAGAGAGAGTATCTGTTTGTGTTTTGCTATTCCTACCTGATTTAACCCTTTTAGGACCAGTTTAAGGTAAATCCCTTGTTATTGAGACAGTCTTAAAATGTTAATTATCCTGAAGGTTAAGCAAGTTCTGAAACTTACTGATGATTAACATCTTTATAGTGACATTGCTGTTTATGTTCATTTGCATATATTTCAGAGCATCCTGGGAGTTGATTTTGAACAAGATGTATTTTATAATTTGCTTTATGACAGATTGATATGACTTATCAGTATTTTTTAAAGTAGACAATAATAATAATAATACTAGTTAATAAGCAAATAGTAGTGAGTCTGATACAGGCTCACATAAAGTTTCTTGTTCACACTACTATATAAATGGAGTGACTTAGTGCATAGCTCCATGGAAGGTGGATCGCAGGGCTGTGCTTTGGATATAAGCTGTGACAATTTGGGGGCCAATGTCCCGGCGCTGTACTTAGCAGAGTTCGCACGCTGATCAGGTAACAGAAGAACAAGAGGGCTATTGGAGTGGGGTGGCTATCTGTCCCCTGCACAGCACAGCTTTGGCACTCACAGATTGTCATTGTGTCCCCAAGAGAAATAACATCGACTTAACAATCACAGCAGCAGAGCTCTCTAAAGTTTCACTGAATAGAAAAATGACATGTAAATGAACATGGTGTGTGAATGCTTGTATTTATAAACACACACACACACACTCTCTCTCTCACAATTGCAGGGGTTAATGTTCAGTGTCAGTGTAGTGGTTATGTGTAGTGTAGGGGTTAATGTTTAGTTATAGTGTTGTAAGTTAGGGTAATGTTGGGATTAATGTGTAGTGGGGTGACGAAGGAGTTAATATGTAGTGTATTAGGGTAGTGTAAGAGTTATGGGCATACATGTCCCACTGTTGCCTGAGATTTGTCGGAGTTATAGTCTCCAGCATCAGCTAGTTCAGCTGTTGTCATTAAAATGCTGCAGGGACCACTCTGGAGTATAAATCCAACTAATCTCAGGCATACCAGGATATGTGTTTCCTGGTTTTGCCCAAAGGTGATCTGTGCATTATGACCGATTCATTCAGTCACAGTCCATGCTTTATAAGATCCTAAAACAGATCTGCCTGGGGACTTAAAGTAAACTTACAAAAACGTACAATACTACAGGCACCAAGAAATACACCCCAGACATGTATAGACACACCAGGATACACATTGCCAAACTCACTCACTGATACACCCTGCAGGACACACACTATATAATACCACTGGACTCATATTCCCACTACTGCTGTTGTCCAAGAGTAGTTTGAGTGCAGGACTTATTCCTGTGTGCTTGTATTTACATTTATGATGCACAATCATGTTATAGTGCTGCCACCCACCCACCCCTGTGTGACCTATCAAGGGTTAATAAGTGTGTAGGACTCGTAAGAATGCCCCTCTCTGTTTTATTAGAGATTTTACCTTATAGATGAAGACCTCAAGGTGAATTGTTAGTGTAGGTCTCACCTCAGAGGTTTTCCTTGATGTGGCAGGTGAACTTACACTTTAGTGGCCATATCAGTGGTACTAACACACCTCTGTTTACGTGTGCATTAATTCAGAAATATTTGCCAAGCTTATCTATCACTGATTTAGCCCTGTATCCTATATCACACTTCAGTCCACAACCAAGTTAAAACTTTATTCATTACATACTCTCCTCCCCACTTCTTAAAGGAACACTCCAAGCACCATAACCACTACAGCATGCTGGATTAGCCCCAACACCCTCAGCAGCTATTAACAAACCCAATAGAAGCTATATTGCACACAACACTCACTTGGCACATGTATAATGCACCTATGTTACATACTGCATTGACATCATTCTGCAATATTAATTCAAAGTGAGTTTAAAATTCAAGGCCAAGGTAGCAGAAATGAAAAGCACAGGCAATTTAGAGATTTTTTCCTCTTTGGCTACTTTGACCTTAATTTTGAAATTCACTCTGAAATCAGTCTCACTTTATATAAATACTCATGATAGCATTTACAATACCACATCACACAAAATATACCCCATGTCACAAGTGGAACCGGTAGTACTCACATTACACAATACCCACACTACGAGGAGCATGTCGATATGTACTGAATGCTGGCACTTAGATTAGGTACATAGCACCCACATACAATATGACATCAATATCACAAACCTCCCACATCATAGCAGTGGCTGTGGGACCTATATAGCAGGATACAGGATCACAGATACACTACATGTATGCTTTTATTTAAAACACATTATTTCAATAAAAAGGCCAGCCTTGGTGGTGACGAGCTGGATGTGACGTAGATTTGAAGTTTTTGTTTTGTGCTTGTTGCATTCTAATTCTTGACAGGATGAAGAAGGAAATAGATGCCCTCATAGATGCCAAGCAGGTTGTTGAAGGTGCCAGGGTGCCAGGCAACAGATAAAAACATGATAAGTGTAGGGCGATGATGGCAACTCGTTTATGGCCAACATTAAGTATTGCTCTGAGTGGAGGGGAGGGGGGGCTGTTCAACTTATCAATATAATTTGGTGTTAAAAAAGTAGACACAAGTAATTTGAAGTTGGCCATTCATCAACAATAGCAGAGTATGAATGAGTGCATCACTCTTCATACTGATTTGCTCTTAATGAGTAAATAGACTAATTTTCTTTCTATTTTGCAAAGAAATACCAAATGACATTAGCTCATAAAGGATATCCTAATTTCTCTTTCGCTTCACCTAGCAGAGAAACTAACTCAGCTCATAGACATATCTAAGGGATGACTGTAAATGCCACACTCAGCCTCTTTTCATAGTATACACCTGTATTTATAGGTTAAATATACTGACCTGCATGCTAGAAGCAAGGAAATCAGAGAGTTCAGAGCAAACTTCAGTATGTAGTATTTTTACCTATACGCTAATATTTAACATCCTGTCCCAGAAAAATTAGCTAATACAAGATTTCTTGTAATCGCTACACATTTTTATCCATATAATATTTCTGTAATTATTGAAATAATAAGTAAATAATTACAACTATGAACATTTACATCATTTAAATTCTTTAGGTTTCTCCCGAACACCATACATCACAAGGAATTCATGTTTTTTCCCTGGGATTATGTTCATGTTATGCATCCCATATTTAAAAAAATGTTATGTTTATTTTTAAAAAAGAACTTTGCAGTGAAGAGGTTAATATCGAATCATTAATATAAAAATCAGATTCATTCGTGGCAAGACAAACATTCCAAATTCTGTCTATCCATTCATTATGAACATTCTAAAAGCATACATACCTTAAAATCTGCTTATTATTTCTTGATGCTATGTATTTAGAAAATCCTAGAAAATATCTGAGTCAGTAATTTAAATTGCTTATTTTTCGCACAAATATCCATATGTTTTTTAAAAAACATACTAATATTCCAGCTCAGCATGGGTTAATGCGGTGTAGCACCTCAGTCTTGTTTGGACACAGTCATTACAAAAAAAAAGCAACTTTGAAGTGACAGTTCGGGTTATTTTCCCGTCACGAGCAGACTTAGGGTAAGTGACAGCTGTGAGTTTCATATTGATTATATGGCATCCCCATTTATCTATACTGCAGCAAGGGAAACAGAGCAGAGAAAACTCCTCCTAATAACAAGAGCACAGTGACCATATCCCCTATTTAACCATCTTGTGCTGGCCGATCTCGCCTGGGGAAGGAGTTATTAATGAGCCCAGCACACTCCATGTGACAATGTTACTTTAATAACCCATACTGTAGCAAGGAATTAGTTTATAAAGAACCAACTTACTTAAGCATTGCTTACACTAGAGATATTTGGGCAATTGTACGTTCGTATAAATTAGAGGCGTTGCAGTTTCCAGTGTTTGATAACAGACAACACCAAGGAGGTTGGAAGATATAAAAAGTTTGTTTATAAGGAAGGTATGTGTACTCTGTGTAACTGCTGTAGAGAAACACATACATCCAGTAAATTTGGAATTATACCTTTCAAACCAAAATTCTAGTACTGGAGTAATAGGCATGTTGGGCAATTTTTATCAGCATGGCTCTTTTTGGCCTAACAGTGGTAGGGAGTTTAAGCATAGGTATAAGGCTATCCTAGATATAAGATAAGGTCAGGGACTAATGAAATTATTTAGAAACTTGGGCAGACTAGATGGGCCGAATGGTTTTCATCTGCCGTCACATTCTCTGTTTCTATGTTTCTAAGACCCTTGTCTGATTCCCACAATTCCCGGCTCACAAAATAAACCTCACAAAGAATTCAAAAAAGTAGAACTGTGTGCCCAATGGTTAGTCATATCACAAGTGGTCTAAAGTTAGTTTTATTTCACTTGTACAATTGCAGAGGAAATCTTTTCTATATGACTATCAGAATGGTCTATACTTGCCCACATTGGCCAGTATTAACCTGATGTTTGGATAGAGGAGCTGGTAATGGTGGAGAATTCTGCTAGGGCACTCCTATATGAATTGAAAAGCTCTGAAGTTGCCTTTCAACGACTTTTCTCTGGTGTTCCTAGGACCACGACACCTTATTCAAATTTGGAGATGTTGGGTTCTAAAATTGGGAATGCCTCAGCAGATTCAGGACTGTTGGCAAGTATGATGCGGTTTAATCACTAAAAAGAATAGGGACTGCTCACACAGATAGCTATCTGTTCTCAGAAAGATAACTGGAGAAGATCCCCCTCTTTTCTTTGAGACTTCAATGGGCATGAGTTCTTGTCAGCCTAAAGCTATATTTTTACAACACATTGTGCAGTGAGATAGCACTATGGTTAATGCAACAATATCTTCAATTCCTGACAAGGTCATCTCAGTGTTTAATTCTTCAGTGGTCAACCAATGATAGGTTATATTCATATGGGTGATAGCAAGACACTGACTAGGACATACTGGCAAACTGTCAAAAACTAAATGTACAATTCCTAGTTTTGATGTTTGACAAAATAAGAGAGGAGCTGTCATTTCTGTGGGCTTTACACCATTGAATAAATCATTGAAAATGACTTGCATTAATTAGATGTTTACTTGTCCTCTTGATTTATATTAAATATTTATCAGATAATATCGTAATCTATTTCAGACAAGGGAAAGGACACAAACATTGCAATTGATGATAAATAAAAACATTATTTCTCCTCTTCTCTATATGCTTTCTGTGTGCTGACTGCCTGGTGCAAAGGACATGTCGAACATACAATTTTTGACAAGTTCTTAGTTACAGGATAGAGGTGTGGATTTCTACATTTAGTAAAAAATTTTAACACATAAGAAATACATGTTTGCTAAACATAATAATTAAACCTGATATTGAAAATCCTGGGAAGTGACAGTGCAAATAAAGCAGAGTCTGTGGGAAGGGAGAATATTGGAAGATTTGCTTTAATTAGCGCACTTGTTAAAAAGTGCCTAAGCTACTTTTAAAATACTACTCCGGACACCATAACAACATCACAGCACTGACGTAGTTATGGTATGAGGAGGTCCCAGGTGCTGTCTTACCTTGCAGGTTTAAATTGTAAATGAATGGGTTAACCTCAAACTTGAGAAGATGGTGCTTGATCACGCTGCTCACACTTCTTTCTTGGTTTGAGACTTCAGACAGGAAGCCTTGGACCAGGCACCGTTGACAGGCTGTGAGCGTCAGCTTGGTCTTGCAGCTTATCACTAGCTCCCCATAGAGGAAATGGAGTAAAAACAATACATTTCCAAAAGTATGGATTTAACCTCTTAGGACAGAAGTTGGGACCTCCTTATATCATGACAATTCCATTGCATTGAAGTAGTTATGGTGCCCAGAGTGTCTCTTTAACATATAGCATGCATTCAATATATTCCAATCATGGGAAATATATTTTTAATGTTCAAAACAAGCATGCAAACAAACAAACAAACAAACAAAATTAAGAGTAATCATTGCAATGCTAAAAGGTTATTCTCCAAGTTTACTTGTGTTTGTCCAGGCCTTGTCTGTGGTTTAGATAAAAAAAAAAAAAAAAAAAAATACATATTGCACTAATGTCCATGGTATGAAATGCCTGCGGTCGACATTCAATTATCTTATGCCTTGTTCCTTGGAATAATTTCAGCACTTGGTGGTAGATGTTGGGAAGGGAAGCAATGAGCTATATTGCTATTGATTATTTGTCACCCTGTGTTATTCACATTCAATTATTTGCCTGAAGTTTTACTCATAGGCACATGAGATTTGTATTATCATAATGCTTGGGGACTTTCGAATTGGGCAGAAGCTAGACGACGGTTATTCTGAAGCAGGAAAAAAAAATGAACAGAGCTATTCACTAAACTCTTTATAGTAGTGATTTAATATCTGAATGGCAATATTTAAGCTGAAATAGCTGAGTTGCCTTTAGTTCAGTTATTCACAGTTTGGCTGCGTTAGCCGAGAAGATTCTTTTCACATTTCAGTTTCCAACAATTCAGAATTTAGTTAATAACCCTGTAAAACTTTATCATTACGATATGTTTGGATTAACGCTCCCAGGATCACAAAATAAAATAGTAAATTTCCCCAAGATACAGCTAGCAAGCAGATCTCTAGATAATACACTTGTGTGAGCTGAGTGCTTAATAAATGTTAATTTTCTGTTCAGAATTCGTTTTTACCTGATTAAACTCCTTACCAGGCACAAAATACATGCACCATCTCCTGAGCTTGCAAGTTTAAACAATAAAAGAACCGTATGGGTAGATTACCCTGTGAAACAGAATGGATAGCCAATGGCGCTTAATTCTCTTTTCCCATTCTATGTGAGGCTCAGAAAAAAAATTGCTTCCTATTCTTTTTGCAAGTAAGGAAAGTGTTAAGTTATTGATCATGGACTGTGCAATTTCCCAGTTCCTTCCCCAGAAGTTTTTGAAAAGTAAATCCCAGAAGGATTGAAAAGTAATCATTGTAACAATGAATCAGTGAGTTTCTAATCAGCGAGTTTCTAAAAAAAAAAAAAGAAAACTCAAGATAAGGCATGCATTTATGCTTTGTAACAAAAACAAAATAACTTTGAGAACAGGCAAAATCTTAGAGAAACTTGCCCTTTGGTTAGTCAGGTCTCAAAAATGCTTTTGCTAATTTGTGTCATTATAAAGAGAACCTATACTATTTGCATATCAGACTAATCCCATCCATAAGGGCTATCCAGAACCAAAATGTCAGGAAGTTCTCTATGTGTGAGAAATACATTAACTCCCCTTCCCACCCCCAATCACACAGAAGAGCTGAAAAACGTAACACCGGCCATGCTTGCAAGGTGAAACAATATATAGATGATTCCACTTAACTGGCTAATGTTGTTGGTATTGTGGTAACCCATCATACAGATACCTCTAAAGCAATATGTTATAAACCAATAATACCGCACTTCATAAGGTAAGACATATTTAAACATTTTTATATTTAGTTTTTTTGCGACTTCAAAACAATTACAAAATCAAATGCAATATTTAAGGCATATCTGTAAAAAAAGAAAATTCTCTTTTTTATTATTGGTATTGGGTTTATTGGCTTATAGCATGATAGAAAGGTCTCAGAACACACAGTGCATTGTAGTTTGCTGCATATGGAGCTGCAAAGCTACAAAACAGTCAGAGTGCCCATGACAGAACTGGACCATTTGGCAATGGAAGAAGGTTGCCTGGTCTGATGAATCATTTTTTTATTTAGATCAGGCGGATTGCTGGCTGCGTGTGCGTTGTTTATCTGGGGAAGAGATGTCGTTGTTATGCTCTGGGCAATGTTCTTCTGGGAAACCTTGGGTCCTGGCATTCAGGTGGATGTTACTTTGGCACGTACAACCTACCTAGAGATTGTTGCAGACCACGTAACCCCTTAATGGCAATGGTGTATCCTGATGGCATGGGCCTCTTTCAGAAGGATAATGCACCCCGTGTTAATGCAATAATTGCTCAGGAATGGTTTGAGGAACATGACAAAGAGTTCAAAGTGTTGCCTGGGCCTCCAAATTTCCAAGATCTCAATCCAATTGAGCATTTGTGGAATGTGCTGGAACAACAAATACCGTCCACGGAAGCCACAACTCACAACATGCAGGATTTAAAGGATCTGCTGCTAGTGTTTTGGTGTCAGATACCACAGGACATATTCAGAGGTCTTGGGGAGACCAAGCATCAGATCTGTTTTGGCACCACAAGGAGGGCCAACACGATATTAGGCAGGTGGTTTTAATATTGTGGCTGATCAGTGTATATCTGCCTACCATAAATTGGATAGAAATTGGGGGCACACCTGGGACCTTTCAGCAGTGGTGCTTCTGTAAAGACAAACATTTATACTAAATACAGATTAAGGAACTGACACAAAAATGCAACAAACAAATATAGGGATTCGGTTTGACCATATGGCCATAAGCCCACCACTGCGCCACATTTGTGCCCCACATTAAAATGAGTGTAGGCCCCAACAATATTTGGATACTATGGTGTAGTTTTAGGCTCAACACAATTACTCTGTTTTGCTTGACATTTTCTCTAGTTAAGCCAAGGTGATTTTACAATATTTAATTGCATCTTTTTTTTTTTTTTAATGTAAATCTAATTTTTATTGTTGTTTTATCAACATGTGTATAATAAGCAGTCTCGAGAAAGAAACAATGTGGAACACGCAGGTCCTGAGCAAAACATGCAAATCAGGGTAGTAGTCATATGCGTTAAGTATTCATGTGGGCTCGCATGCATCAAACACCTGAGGACTCGCAGGTCCCGTATCTTATCACATTACAAGTTATTGCAGTTATGAAGCATTCCTTGGGTCTCGGGGTTCTCCTATTTTGTTTCTCCATAATTTACCGTTCTATGGGATTCCTCACAAAGGAGCCTCCAAGTGCGGCATCTTTCTATTTTTAAAGGCTGCAATGGACTCCTTTACTTCATATAATTTAATTGCCATTTTTTTGTGTGCATCTATGACCTGTTAAAGAGACAGTAAAGTTTAAAGTTTAGTAGGCTTTGTAACACGGCTCTTGCCATATTCAAACAGTATCCTCTGTTTTAGTGAATGGGTCCTTTTCCAAGCAAAGAGACGACGGTCATGTTCCACTTTTATTTCTCTACTACAAGTTAGGATTTAAAATTTTTCCCTTCTTAGTAAGTAGGAGAGGCTTTGGGTGCCATAGTAACTGCCAGAAAAATGCTCCTGCAGTTTGAAGAGGTCAACTAACAGGGTTATCCACTCTGGCCTCTTCCTGAGCTGGGCACGGCAGGTCACAGTATGCAGTTAGTCTAAGTCTGGGCCGAGCTCTGTAAGGTCACCTAATCCAGCTCTGATATAAATTTTTTGAGTCAGTTCATGGCCTAGACACTCCAGGTGGCCTTTAAAATCGATTGTGACCTCCTGCCCTTGTCTAACAGAGGAATAATATCCAGCCTACTAGATGGTTTAGCCGAGAGTGACAGATATCCACTGAGTGTTATTAAAAGCAACACATACAGTTTGAACAAACCAGGATGTAGGTATAAAGAGAGCCCCATACACTCATGCATCATCTTTTCATTGTGAATATCTTATTGTTGTTTATGTTTATTATTTTTAAGACTTAACACATTTTTTTTAATAATATGGTAATAATGACTATCCTTGGAACTGCAGATATTAGTGAACTACCCTAGGCTAAGCATCAAGAGTAAGGTTAGTAATCACGGATAAATATACAGTCAATATGTGAAACTTTCTATAAATTTTTTTGGACTACAGCATTTCAGGGCAAATTCTTTGGAAAACCTTGCAACTTTTCAAATGGACGAAGAGGGACACTTTCATTTTAGGGGTGTGAGTGGGGTGTGGTAAAGGATGGGGCTGTTATTAGAAATTTAAAGTGACTTACCAGCAATAGCCCTATAATGTAAAACCCTGTATGTAAAACATTGCAGTTTTTTGTTGTTGAAACTGCTATGTTTACCTTGCAGAGCTAAATCCATCTCCTAAAGATGATTTAGCTGCACTGACCAGTAAAACTTGGTTAGGTGGCACAGTAGCTCATAGGAAAACACTGAATACATTATTTTCCTATGGGGTAGTTTGAATACATTTGGAACATTGGGTTGGACCACACCTACTCGATGAAGTCGCAGGAGGCGGAGAGGTGAGCACCGCCAAGTGAGCCTCAGTGCTGGAAAAAGGCAAGTAAAACTTTAGTTTTGTTAATTTTTATTACACATGGGGGTAGAAGGAAGGGGGCGAGAGGGGACTGAGGGGACAGGGGTGGGGGGTGGACTTACATATAACTATGTAAGTAGTGGGAATTCAGATTTTTATTCATAATACTACATGGATTATTCAAACTACATTACTGGGAGTATTTCATCGTTATGGAGCTCTATTATACACCCAGAAACACCAACAATATGGAACTCCTAAAAAAAGAGGGACATTAGGATAGAAAAGAGGGGCAGAGGGATTTGTACTGTCCCAACTAATAGGGACACTTGTGAGGGTTGCCAAAGTTGCCAAAGTGAATTTTAAATTGTAGGCCCAAACGCTGTCTTGAACAATGTTTCTAGTTTCGGTATTTTGGCCTCAAATTTGGAATTCCCTCTAGTTAATAGCCTTGCCTTGTAATTTTGGGGGAATATTAATATTCCCCCCAAATTATGTCTTACAACCTGGCATATTGGCTGTATTTAACTTGGCATATTGGCTGTATTTAACTCTGCCATTCTGGATCAGGGAAACACAAGAGAACAGTGGCGGTGTAGAGATGACAGGGCCATTAACTGACGTCCATCTCTCTGCTTTACACATACCCATAGTACACTAAAGCTTCAGTGTTATCTAGGAGCAGAAGGAAAGCGCTG